CCATGTTCTGGTCTCGTCTTGATAGTCTGTGTATTCCCACTAGGGTGAAGATGAATCAGTCACCCTCAAATCCTGCACACGGCGGAAAACAGACTCCATTGAGAAGAGGTTTTGCTTTGATGTAGAAGCAGTAGACAGGTGAGTAGCTGCCATACTTTTCTCAGGATCAGCTGTTGCTGAATTTGTCTGTCTTAGCTTTTAATTTCAGTCAAGGCTTTTCTGCTTTTTTCGTCTTCCCTTCCTTCTTTCTCCTTCTGTCTCCTTCCTTTCACCTGTAGCCAGTGTGCTGATTTGCAAGGATATCCAGGCCATTGCTGATTTGCAATAATCAATGGAGCCTCCCCATATTTTAGGTTCAGCCCTGCATCGTCACTGGCTTGGCTGTGTCACTCTTATGTCAGTGCTTCCATGCTCCAAAGGACTCCAGGAGACTGCGCAGATATTTAAAGGAAACTGACTGTTTAGCATGATTGTAACAGCCCGTTGAGTTTTTGTTTTTTACTTAAAAAATTAATGTAATTACATAAAAGAAATTGGTGTGGAAGAAGTTTTACTCAAAAATAAAAAAAGAAACTCTAGCCTTTAGTTACAGCATTTCACTACCAATGTGTGCACATGCCCAGGAAACCACTTGTGAAATCGCAGTCTTTGGAGAGAGAGCTGTGTGTTGTATTCCTCAAGATTTATAGAATCTCTCATTAAGTTGTACCATTTCATGGTGTTAAACTAGTTTGACAACGTTCCAATTCTTTGAGACACTTTACTTGGCAACAGGTTGATTCTTTCATTGAAACCCACGTGTTAAGCTTATTTGAGCTGCCTGTTCAAGATCAGCAATGCTGGCAGCAAGATCTTAAATCTCAGCATGATACTCATATAATGCCATCTAATCTTTCCCCTTTATTTAAAAAAAAAAAGCTCACCATTTTGTCAAGCCAGTGCTGACCACCTCCCTGGGAAGCTTATGTGTGGTCAGCTTTCCCTGGCTCTGATGGGTCCTGAGACTGAGTACCACCTGGGGTGTGTGCCTGGTGTGTTGGTGGGTGGGTGTGGACAACCTTCTTGTGGCAGGTGTCTACTCTGCACTGCTGCTCCTTCATGGCAGGAGCTCCCATGGAGAGAAGATGCCCTTGTAGCCTAGATCAGAAGTTCAGGGAAACTCTGCATCTCTTCAGCAGTTTAGTGATGGTACCTTTGTCTTTCAAGCCACACAACCTGGGGTCAAATTTTGACTTTGCCTCATAGTAGCCACATGATGTTGAGCAGGTTACTTAATGAGGGTCTCATCTGGAGAATGAAGGTGCTGAGAGTACCTAGTTCCTAGGGTTGTGGTGAGGCCTCAGGGAGATCATGCATGTGAAATGCTTGGTAGAGTGGCAGGCAATAAGTGCTCCACAAGGACTAGCTGTTATTATTTGTTGCTAATTAATTTGCCTTGCTAATCTGTCAAACTGGTATTTCATTTCTCTTCTAAACACAGAGAAGTAAATATAATTTGTAAAGAAAAGTAAGTGCCCTGGCCTGTCATGGCGTGTGGGATGGGAGCAGGGAATGTGAGAGAGAGGGTAGTGAGGGAGGGAGGTGGAGTGGGGTGGCAAAGGGGATTGCACAGAGCCTTCCCAAGCCCAAACTGGTAATTCTTGGTTTTAAATGAGTTCTAAATCTGGATGCTTTAAGCCCTGTAGACGTTGCTCTTTGCATGTGACTTAAGGGAATTCATATTATTGACATCCTTCGAGGAGGTTCAGAAGATGTGTTTGTGTGGAAGTGGAGCCAGCTGTGATGCCACTCAAACGTGTGGCTCTGGGAGGGGGCCGCTGTTTGCAGGGCTGTTTGGAAGAGGGCATGCTTCATGTGGCAGCTGTCCATCAGATTGGAAACAAGCCCAAAGATGCTTTCTGAAGTTGAATTATTTTCTTCTTAAGACATTTCTCAAGAAGTAGTGAAATTTTGCTAAAAAGGCAATTAAAAGTCACTGTAGCACCTCCATCCCATTCCCAACCTTGCCAGCATTTCTAGCACCTTCCCTTCCTGATGCCACCAAAGCTGTCCATGCCCCACTGTAAGCAAAGAGCAAACGGGCCACATTTGGCACACCAGGTGGGCTTGGAGTTGCTTCCTCCTAAGTCTGTGCTTGGTTCTGTAGTATGGCACAGGAGGGTTTTATCATGTTCTGATGAGGCTCCTCTCGACACATGTACCAGGAAACATCTTTGGCTCTCTGTTTAGGTCTCCGAGGTGAGAACAGTTTGGCAGTGCTTTGCTTTTCTCCCGTGTCTGTGTTTTCCTTACATACCTAGAAGGGGTCTAAGGAGAGAAAGTAAAGGTGTTCCCACATGCTAGGCAGCGGCACTCCTGCTATCTCTGCCCAAAGGCCTTTTCTTCTCAATACTCCTACCCTCTTTCCCCCACATCCTTTAGCTAGGAGGTGATTGCCTTGCTGTGGTGCCTTCCATAGGTTCCTCAGCTCCACCTGCTGGGCCAGAGAAGCTGATGGTCAAAATGCACGTTAGGACCTACGAAGTGTGGAAGTAAAAGAGAGGAGGGTTATAGGTGTTTAACAACATAAGGGTTCACAGGGCTTTCAGGGTATGTTAACTGTAGAACATATTAACATTTACGTAGTAACTATTTATGTTTTATTTGATCAAGATACAAATACATGTTAAGGTGTGATTTATGTGACGTACGATATGGGATGTTCCTGGCTTTTAAGGTTAAATGCTTTTGTCCTTTCTACTTAATGCTGGTATTTCATGATATTTTGTGACAAAATCTAAGGCCTTCAGGAATTGATATTCTAGGAGGTCAACACTGTGAGCTGATTACATCAGTGTATCTTACTGTATGGTGAGAACCGTTAGCACTCAACCATTTGCACCCCCACTGGGGTTGCTTGTTAGAAGTACAGATTCCTGGTCTCCGCCCCAGACCTATGCATCTGACTTTGTGGGACTGAGACCCCAAAATTCACACTTTCAAGCTTTCTAGTTGTCCTTTATTCTTACTAATGCTTGATGTGTTAAATTTCACAATGCAGTTTCGTCAGTGCACATAAAAACACTTTTCTTATTGGAAACATTACATCGAGTAATTACAGCAAAACAAAGCAAAAAGAAAAATGTAGGCTCCTTTACTAAGGAGCTTAGTACTTACCCATATGGTGGAGAAAATAAAACTAGTAGAAAAATGATTTCTAATCGGTGAGACAGATTTCTTCACTAGGACAAAAGCAGATACCGCCACCACAACAGAACTCTCTACCTTTTTAGGTAAAGGGTGTTAAAATGGAGGATGGGTGAGGAATGAGTGGTATAAGAGCATTTTCTGTGAGTTGAACACTTTTCTTCCATTATTTCATGGCATCCTCATTGCCACCCAGGGAGGTAGGTGTTCCCTTACCTCCTCTCCCCTGTTGAGGAGTCTGTAGTTTAGAAGGGTGCAGTTGCTTCCCCAGGGTTAAGCTGGGATTTTGCAGGAGTCTGTGCACTCCAGCGTGCCTTGCTACCTCTAAACTCCGGAACTCTTAGGAGTGCTTTGCACTGATGAGCCCAGTGCTGTCAGGGGTTGCATTTCAGAGATACCATGCAGTGTTCACCTTAACAGGCTCTGAAGTCTGAGAAGTGCTGTCCATTCTCACTTGATCGTTTGCATTTGGCATCATAAACTAATGGTGCAATAAACTAAAGCTGCACACTTGGTTCTGTTCTTACATCTTCTCCTCTGTGACCTTTAGAAAGTCCTCACATGACTAATTTAAAAGAGTCAGTGCCAATAAGAGCACAGTTCCAGGCACATGGTGCTTGGTAGGTGTTCCATGAATGCCATTTTGGTTTTGGTATACCTCTTCTTCTACCCTTTATTTACTTATTTTTATGGAGATGGGGTCTTGCTGTGTTGCCCCAGCTGGACTTGAACTTCTGTTCAAGGAATCCTTCCACCTTAGCCTCCTAAGTAGCTGGATTTACTGGTGAATGTAACTGTACCTGGCTCCATCTTTTATTTTTAAGGGGACTCTTTTTTTTTTTTTTTTTTTTTTTAATTCAAGGAGACTAACATGAGTAGGAAAAATAAAAGCAGAAGTCAAAGCCATTTATCAGTTAATTGGTTTCATTGTATCCCTATATGTTGCTAGTAATTATTAATCCTCAACTCACAGTGAGAAGGAATTACTTCCTGACATTTAGGTCCTACGGAAAGAACTGCTGTAATTCTTTGACCCATGAATGAGCTGGAAATCAAATTGTTAATACAGGGCATTGGAATTTAGATCTATATTTTTTGAACTTTGTGTGTCAAAGATCTTTTTTAAGGCTGAATACATTTTCAGAAACAGACTTCTAATTCTTGTATTTTAGTTCTTTTAGATATCTCAAAAGCCTTGCTCTCTGTGTCCTCCACCCTTCCATATTGGCTTCCCTGTAGTTTCTGAGGACACATCTTATCCAGTGCCTTTTCTCTCGTCCTTTCTCTTCCCCTCTTCTGTTCAGAACTAGTTTTGAAGGACATTCACACCTGAAATATTGACAACCCCGGGACTATTCTGAACAAGTGTCTCTTAGGCCAATGTTAGCTCTTTATATCTTTGGCTTTCCTTGGAAAGGTTTTATTATTTACAACATTGAAAAGTTAAAAGTTAAAAGTTAAATTTAAACTTTTAGTAAATTTTTTTTTGAAAAAATTTTTTTGTATTTCTTCAATCCTGAATGAAAAACTTACTTAGGATAAGGTATCATGCCATATTTCAACATGATGGTTCTTTGAATGTCTTCTGATTTCTTTTGAATGATATGACTTTAAATAAATGGCTGTGATTTGTGGAAGTTGGGGGGGAGTGGGTGTTGCCACAGTATGCTCCAGAGGAGAATGTTTATTATTTTTTCTGAAGGTATTTGTTGTGGATTACATTGTGTCCCTACCAATTTCATATGCTGAAGTCCTAATCCTCAGTGTCTGAAATTAGGACCTTATTTGGAGATAGGGTCTTCGTGGAGGTAATCAAGTTAAAATGAGGTCATTAGGGTGGGCCCTAATTCAATATGACTGATGTGTCCTCATAAAAAGGGAAATTTGGACACACAACTGGACTAGGGCATGGGGAGAACACAATGTGAAGAAGAAGCAGAGATCAGGGTGAT